AGCTTAGCTGACAACTTTGTTATCCAAAAGGTAGAGGAGGGAACTAGAGGAAAAGCTATACTGAGTATTCTTACTAAAAGAGAAGTGATAAAAGGAGTTGAAGTTGCCAGAACCTTGGGCGAAAGTGACCACATCAATTGGAATTCAATATAATGCAAACACAAGCAATAGAACACAATCCAACCAGTGTTTTAAACTTTACAAGAACTGATTTTAACAAACTCAGAGAGAGCCTAAGAAAAAGTCCATGGTTAAAAATCCTAAAGGGGAAAGCAACTCAAGAAGCATGAGAAACACTGAAAAATATGATCATAAAAACCCAGTCCAACACAATACCACTGAAAAAGAACAAGAAGTCCAAGAAGAAACCAGCATGGTTGCACAAAGATCTCTCTGATAAATTGAAAAACAAAAAGGATAAGTACAAAAAATGGAAAGAGGGACACATCCTGTAACTAAAGCAGAGTATCTGCAGATAGCCTGAATCTGCAAAGAAGAAATCAGGAAAGCAAAGGCTCAGAATGAACAAAGACAACAAAAGTCAAAGATAATAAAAATGTTTTTTCTACATAAAAATAACAAAAATGTCAAGGAAACAGCCGGTCCACTAAAGAGAAAAGATGGAAAGGAAGTAACAGGCGGTAGAGAGAAAACAGAGCTGCAGGGTGCTTAACTCATTCTTTGCATCAGTCTTTATGTAAAAAGAAACTAGCCCAACCTATCAAACACATAACTGTAAAAGACAGACTAGATATAAAAACTAAAGTAAGCAAGAAAAAGCTCAGGATCCAAAAAAATCTTAACAGACTTGAACAATAGGCCCTATCCAACAACATGAAACTTAATATGGAGAAAAGCAAGGTTTACACCTAGAAGGAGAAACCAAAGGTACAAGTACAGCTTAGGCAAAACCTGCTCAAAAACAATAATTCTGAGATGGACCTTGGAATCCTAGTGGACAATCACTTAAAAATGAGCCAGCAGTGTGTGGCAGCAGACAAAAATATTAATACAATCTTTTGAGGCATAGAATCAAAATCACATGAAGTAAATCCTTAGTAAGACCATCCAGTTTTGGTCACCATATTACAAAAAGATACTGAGACTTTGGAAAACGTGCAAAGAAGTGCAACTACAATGATTAAGGGCCTGGAGACAAAAACATATGAAGGACTGTTGCAGGAATTGGCTATGGCCAATCTAGAGAAAAGGAGGACTAGGGAGTGACATGATAGCAGTATTCCAGTATTTGAAGGGCTGCCATAAAGAAGAGGGGGTGGGGAGAGGGTCAACTTATTTTCCAAAGCACCAGAGGGCAGGACAAGAAACAATGGATGGAAACTACTCAAGGAGAGAAGCAACCTGGAATTAAGGAGAAACTTCCTAATGGTGAGGACAATGAGTGGAACAGCTTGTGTTCAAAAGTTGTAGTTGCTTCATCACTAGAGGTTTTTAAGAAGACTGGGCAGCCATCTGTCTGAAATGATAGAGGGTCTCCTGCTTGAGCAGAGGGTTGGACTAGAAGACCTCCAAGGTCCCTTCCAGCTCTATTCTGATTAATAGCATCATATTTTTACCTCTCAGTTCATGCAAGGATAGGCTGGTGTCCTATGGTTCAGCATCAAGCAACCAAGCACGGTAGAGGACATCAGGCTGCCTACTGCTGAATTCTTAAATAATACATATAGCAAATATAATTGGCTTCACTAGAAGTAGCTTTTCTTCTATTTTTGAGTTTTGTTGCATCTGAAAAAATTATTCATAAGGTCTTGCACCTTCAAAGGTACTGAATTTTTCATTTACCTGGAAGTGAATTCAGAATTACATAAAAATGAATAGTCTGTCCAACATGTTTACATTAAATTATATTTCAAAAGAAATAGTGCAAGATTCAGTAGAACCCAAGTGCTTGTAAAGAAAAAAGAAGTTTAGATTCATTACTATTTTTCCTTCCAGACACACTTAAAAAGAGAGAGTAAGTGTGTGTGAGAGAGAAAGCACTTTTTGGTGCTCAAAAGACTATATATTATTTACGAACATTGAACATAATGAAGACTGCATGTTCATTTTTCTAAAATATATTTGTGGTAATTTTTGATTATGAAATAACCCCAATGTCAGGTTATTAACTTTACAGAGAAAAATATATTCTTCTATAACACTTCTTCTATTAACAGAGACAATGTTGAGTTATGTAATAACATTCTAAACATTCTAAGCATAGGAGTTTTATTTTTTTTAAAAAGCAGGAGTATGAACAGTAGAACAATAGCTTGATACAGAATTTAACAAAAGAAAAATAGAATTTCAGGAATCCTAAAAATGAAGCAAGTGGGTTCCAGATACTTCCTTAAATGTTTCCTTAATTTTCTGCCAATGCCCTTCCTTCAATTGCAGTACAGATTAATAGGTTGTTTCAGAAAATTTTGTATCACAATATGTATCAATTGTCCCTGAGGTACTGATTGGCCGGAGCAGGGTGGGTAGGGGAAGAGAATGGATATTTATCTTCTCCTTTCTGAGCAGTTATGTATAATTCTCTTAAAATTAGGGACTAAGTGAAAGACCACGGGGCATGATCATAACAGTTATTAAACTAGGAAGCCGTGGAACAACTTTTCTCCCGGAGTCATGAGAGCTCCATTACAGAAGGTTTTCAGTTAAGGGTTGGACAGCCATTTCCCTAGGATGGTCTGAGTCTTCTTGTCTTGTGTAGGGGGAGGAAATAATGACATTGAGGAACAGAACAAAGAACAGCTACCAATGCAACAGTCACATAAAAGGAGCCCTGGTGGCGCAGAGGTTAGAATGCAGTATTGCATTCTAACTCTGCCCACTGCCTAGAGTTAGCTCCTGATGGGGCTTGAGGTTGCCTCAGCCTTTCATCCTTCCAAGATCAGTAAAATGAGGACCCTGATTGTTAGGGGCATTGTAAAAGAGTTCTGTAAAGCAGGGGCCTCCAACCGTGGCAACTTTAAGACTTGTGGACTTCAACTCCCAGAATTCCTCAGCCAGCTTCTGAGAGTTGAAGTCCACAAGTCTTAAAATTGCCAAGGTTGGAGACCCCTGCTGTAAGGCACTAAAGGGTAACATATTAATCTAAGTGCTACTGCTGTTGCTAAAAGAGGATGAGTTAATGGTAAAAAAGTAAGTAAATGCCTCAGACAAATCCCCTCCTAATTCAAGTGAAGATAAAGGGAAGGAGGGAGAATCAAGATTCTGTGACTATCACTTTATAATACTGCAAAAGTAGTTCTGACCTACACGGCATTGCTTTTCTAGTTTGATGTATCTTGAAAGTCTGACATCTGGATAAAGTGTTGGATTAAAAGACTTCAAAGATCCCTTCCAGTCCTATGATTCTGTGATCCGTTGCGGGTTTCATCTGGGCTCAGAGAGATTAGCCCCAGATTCTGCATGTGCCCTCAAGGCAAAAGCATTTGGTTGCTTGAGGTAAAATGTAAGAAAACCCATCCATTTTTATTTTAATATATGAGAAACCCAGTAAGATCTGAAAGTGAAAACAGTCTGTTAAAGTATTGCAGATTTAATAGCTGACCAGCTGTTGTAAGGTTGTAAATGCTGATGCAATGAGAATGGTATTGCCACTTTAAGACTGAGGTTAGGTCAGCAGGATAATTACCACTTTAAGAAGCTATCTATATAAAGGCAGCCATGAGAAGGCATATCTCTCCTTGTTTTCTGTCTCCATTGTAGTTCTCCGTGCAGAGTAATGCAGACTGATTGCTTGTCTGGTATGAGCCTATCACGTATGTATATATGTATGTATACAGCAGTCTTGTATATAAACCACTGTTAAAAGACAAAGCCTGTGTGTGCTGTATTATGCTCCTGGGTTGTCTCACAATAGTAGTCATACTGCAAACACTCTGACACAGTCTACTCAACTAGAAGTGGGAAAGTAATACCTTACCACGAATCAGTTTGCTCTAGTGGTTAAGGCACCAGGCTAGAAATTGGCAGACCATGAATTCTGATCCCACCTTAGGTATGAATCCAGCTGGTTGACTTTGGGCCTGTCACTCTCTCTTAATCCTAGAAAAAAGGTGGCAATGGCAACCCCTCCCAAAAACCTTGCCCCAAAAATTGCAGGAACTAGTTCAGGCAGTTGTCAGGAATCAACACTAATGTCCCCCCATCCATTTATTTAACCTAATAATAACAGTTTAGTTTCTGGGATGAAGACAATCCATGAAGTGCTCAACAATTAGCCTGACCTTATCTAAGGGTACAATTAGAATTCTTAATATGATTCTGAAATTGGATATTTATTGCATTGAACTTTTTCCATAATCCAACGATTCTGAATAAAATGGATGGTGCAGAGGAGCTGTGAACTCTAATTCCAATGATTTGGCAAAAGGTAAACAGCCAATGAAGAAAATAGCATAGTATGTCAAATATTTGTGCCAAATGAGTCCTAACTTTAATGGCTGGGTAGAAAGGTTTGGAAAAACACCACAAGTGAATTTAAGCTTACTAAGGTAGAAGTTTTGTGGCATACTGCCATCTTGTGGGACAAGATCATTTTTAAAATGATAATTCTCTACAAGCTTTATTATTATTCTGAATTGCATAATGCATTTGCAGCTCTTTCTATAAAGTAGAAAATTGGAGGAGGATTCACAATTTCCTGTGGAAGAAAGAGAAATATGTCATGGGAATATGTGAGAACTCCAAGGAAATTTTCTTTGTAATAGTATTGAGAACTGATTCACATACCGAGTGATGTAGAGGATACAGGGAAGAAGAAGGTCTAAATTAGGTATCAAGAGGAATACTGGAGAAAAGTTGAAAGTTGCTTGGGAATTCTAGTTCAGGATTAACCACCTCCAAGAAATGTGGATGAAAATAACTTTATTGTCAAAATGAGAATATTGTAGAAACAGTCCACGAAGAAGCAATTGCCAGACTATGGGCCCCATGTCACTCACTATAGCTTTGCCATACTAATTTCCCAGCTCAGATGTGAATAGCTTTCATGATATAGGTGAATGTTTCTTCAGGGTCAGTCTTGTCATTTCATCTTGTGTCTTTTCATCTTTCAGTGCCTTCAGAAGCTTATCTGAAAAATGTGGAATTTATCATTAGCCATGTTACATATGCTATTGCAAAGACATAGTAACTCTACCATAGTATTCTCTACCATAGTAACAGCAAATAAAAATTTAAAAATAGTCACACTGGCATTGGAAATAGCTTTGGAGCTTATTCTAAAGTTAATACTTGGAAAAGTGGTTTGCCTGCTGCTGTACTTTGCAATGTGCACAACACTTGTGATAGAGCAAATTCTAGACCCCTTGTTCCTAGATAGAGCAGTTGTTGTTGGTGACTGTACAGGTAGCCTTCGAGTTACAACCACAACTGAGCCCAAAATTTATGTTGCTAAGTGAAACATTTGTTAAGTAAGTTTGCCCCACTTTGCCAGAGTTGTTAAGGGAATCATTGCCTTTGTTAAATTAGTAACCTGGTTGTTAAGTGAATCTGGATTCCTCATTGGTTTTGCTTGTCAGAATATCGCAAAAGGAGACCACAAGGCCCCAGGACATTGCAACTGTCATAAATATGAACCACTTGTCAATCATCTGAATTTTGATCATAGGACCATGGGGATTCTGCAACAGTTGTAAGTGAGAAAAATGGTCATAAATCACATTTTTCAGTGCCATTGTAAATGTGAATAGTCACTAAATTGACTGATGTAAGTCAAGCACTATCTGTATTGTTCTATAGCTCATTTGCCCAGTGATGGTATGATGCTTTTGTGTGATACATCAAAATTACCCAGTATTACCTGCTCCCCAAGCTATTCTTGTGGCTTCTGATGTTTGCTGGAGCTTTTTGCAGTTCACAGATTTCCAAGATGAGTGATTATAGCCAGCTTTCCTTTTTATTATGGATGGAACAGGATTGACTTTAGGAATATGGGTTAACAGCTTAAATCTCCCAAAGGATCACCGATAAGGTCCAACAAAACCAATTTTCTAAATTTTCTCCACAATTCCAGCCAAAATATACACTTATAGCTGCCCACGCAGTATGCAATCTTCAATTGATACAAATAAATTCCCCTTTTCAAATAATCTGCCTGCAATTACTTTGATGAAGATTTGCTTTGTAAAGTGTTATTTTTTTACCCATCAATTTAGGAATTGGTATTTTACATCAGCTGGGCATCAAAATAATTGACTCAAAATTCTTGGACTAAGCCTCTTATCTATTTGCATTAAGAATCATAAAAATAGCCTGGTCCAGCATTATGCTCACCAGGTCGGCTGGCTTAGCTAGGACAGATGGGAGAAGCATTGCAAGACTTCTAGAATACATCAGGTGAGAAATGGCTGATTGAAAAGATCACAAAGTTTAGAAGTTCTTTTAGAAGTTCTTTCTCACCATAGCAACATACCCTTAATAAATCACTTTTAAAACATTTTTCTGTCCTTGGTTTCAGAGTGCATTGGCCTGGACTCTGTATATATAGCTATATTTATGAATTGGCCAAGATCCAGCAGAAGATCTTTTTAATGGAAGGGGGAATTTTTTCCTGATGTCTGTTTCCTATGTGGCCTTCGAGCTGTCTAAAATAAATGTGTAAGATCACAAAAACCTTCAAAGGGAAAGGAGCATAATGAATATTGCCTCCCCTCTTACACTCGGACTACCCATGAGTAGACCTTACATTAAAAGGTGTTTTCACTAATGGGTGCATACTTGGCATCAAATATATGATTTCTTAGTAAAATATTCAGTGGTTGTATTAGAAAATTCACCAATTTTTTAAAATTATGTATACAGATGTTGGTAGTGTATATATTAACCATGTATTGCTTTTACTAGCTGTGGCCACTACTTCAGGCATCTTTATTTTATTTATTAAATTTATCTACTTATTAAATTTATTAGCCACCCATCTTACTACATCGTAACTCCTGGTGGAATTATTATTATTGTTGTTGTTGTTATTATTGTTGTTTAAGTCAAGGGTCCTCAACCTCCAGGCTGTGATCATTACTGGGCCAAGGCCTATTCGACTTGTGTGAGCAGCAGACTGGCAAATGTGAACACTTGCGTGCAGCTCAACTTGTGCAAGTCGAGCTGTGCAAGTCAAGCTGTGCGCTCATGCGGACGTGCTGATCCAACATTCATGCAAGTTGAGCTGCACACCTGTGCGCACTGGCCCGCCACTCATGAGGCCTATTTCTCCTCTGTTTTCTCCCACTGGGCCATCAAGCCACAAAGGTTGGGGACCACTGGGAAAAAATACTAACATTCAGCCTAACATTCAGATATTCATTTGTAGTTCCATCAACATAGGAACCAAACAAAAAGACAAGGATCTTCTGTTTTGGTAGTTGGCAGGGCCATCTTAACAGCATTATGGGCCCTGGCCAAAGTAGTGTACTGGGGCCCCTACAACAACTACTCACAGCAATAAAAATGTAAATGGTCAATAAAATTAAACAAGTATTTTCATGTTAGCAGTGGCGGATTAAGGTTCACTGGTGCTCTAAGAACTGACAAATGGTGCATATTCTCAATTTTGTGGTGCCCCCTTTGAACCTGGTGCCCTAAGCACGTGCTTAGTCTGCTTAATGGTTAACACACCACTGCATGTTAGTATTAATTAAAAAATGCAATAAAATGTAATAAATATGTTGCTATATTTATATGATACAAGGTGCATCGAAGGGTTAACATACACAGATTAGTATGGGGCCCCTATATGGGGCCCAGGGCAAGTGCCCATCAGGCCCATGCATTAAGACAGCCCTGGTAGTTGGTAGACCCTTTCCATACTTTGAGGTAGCAAAGGTGTCAACAAGCAAGATTATGAGCAGCCAGATTTCAGTTACTCACACTGCTGTGGGTCAGAGCCATCTCCTGTGAGAGCCAGCAGTTCCAACTCTTTCAGACGGATGCCAAGCTCACAGATTTCCCCATCTGGGTGAGGTTGCTGGTGTGCCTCAGTGCTCTCTGAAGCAGGACAGAAGAAGCGCAAAGGCTCATAAGGAATGGGAGCCAGGCCAGCTGGCCAGGGAGGAGGGCAACAACGTTCACTTGTGAGTGGAAATAACCCAAGCCCAGGTGGAGGGCGTTGAGGCCCAGCTGGTGCTGCTGCGTCCCCCCCTCGCAAGGGCACAAAAAGCTTCCGCCAGAGAGCACAATCAGTTAGGTTAGTGCTTTGGGTAGTACGGTCATAGAGGGAGGGGAAGAATACAGGGGGTGGTGGCTGAGGGGGTGGAGGAGGCTGTTGCTGGTGGCTCATGGAGTTGCTCCTGATGGCTCAGCAACTGCACTGCAACTGCCATGGAAACCTCAGAATCTAGAAAGTGTCATGGAGTTTTAAAGTTCTAGAGCAGTGTTTCTCGTCCTCGCTGACCTTCAGATGCGTAGACTTCCACTCCCAGAAATCATCTTTGCCACTTTTGCTTTGGGGCCAGGCATTGTTTATATTTCTGCAGGCTTTACTTTCACATCAGCCTTAAGCAGGGGTGGGTTTCTACCGGTTCTGTCCACCTCTGTAGAACCGGTAGCTCTGAAGAGCAGCAGACATAGAACTGGTTTTTGCCCACCCATCCGCCCGGGCTCTTACCTGATCTTTATTTCCTGATTTTTTTCAACTTCAGCTGCCGAACGAGGCACAGCTACAGTTAAAAAAACAAGAAAAGAGGGCTGTTTCAAAGGCAGCTTCTCAGCACGCAGCGTGCTAATGACAATTTACAGGCACAAGGCTCACAACAGGCAGAGAAGCTTGTAAATCCTGAACCGGTAGTTAACCCTGTCGTATCCCACTCCTGGCCTCAAGCAATTAAATTTTAAACTAGAAGATGACATATATTTTAACGTTTTTCAAGAAATAGACACTTGCTTTGCTATCCAGGTCATCCTCAATGTATGACCACAATTGAGCCCCAAATTTATGTTGCCAAGTGAGAAATTTCTTAAGTGAATTTTGCCCCATTTTACAACTTTTCTTGCCACATTTGTTAAGTGAATCACTGCAGTTGTTCAATTGGTAATACAGTTGTTAAGTCGATCTGCTTTTCCCCATTGACTTTGCTTGCCAAGAAGGTTGCAAAACATGACCACAGGGCACTGCAACCCTTGTAAATGTGAGTCAGTTATCAAGCATCTGAATGTAAATCACGTGACCATGGGGATGCTGCAACGGTCATAAGTGTGGAAAATGGTCATGTCATTTTTTTTCAGTGCCATGATAACTTCGAATGGTCACTATGGGAACTGTTGTAAGTCGAGGACTCTCTGTATTCAATTTCTCTATTTGCATCTATGTTGTCTTCTCCATTGGACCATTCTTAGATTTTGTGCCTCTCTTGAAGCACTAAGGAAGGAACAGAAGTCCCTGGATATAAGGAGCAGGCTTAGACTAACAAACATTTATCTCCTTTACTTCCTTAAAAAGAAAAAAGGAAACTGAAATATGCCTTTTGGACAGTGGTTAATTACAAAGGAGGGGATCTCAGCTCACGACCTAATCTTTTTACAATTCTTTTAAAAGTGATGGATTTCAAAACAGTCTGTACTATAAGTATAAGCTAAAATTATGAAGAATCAGACATGAGCATTTTGGTTTTTTTTAATTGTACATATTTTTCTTCTATATTTTTTATTTTTACTATTAAACTAAAACCTGTACTCTGTCCCTCCTACTTTTTACTGAGAAGAGTGTTGGTATGCAAATCCTGTAAAAATATGTCACTCACAGAATAAGTCCATGAAATATATAAGCCATCTTTTTAAGCACTCTCTATCTACCATAGTTATTGTACCAATGCTAGTTTTCTTAGCGTTGTTGTGGGCAAATTTTTATTGTAGAAAAAAAGTATTTTTTAGATAATAGAGATTTCGGATGATTCAGAGTAACCTGCAGAACTGCTTTTCATCCAGTAGAGGGAATCAAATACTTACAGTCTGGCCGCTTGTGTAGATATTTATATCTGCGCTTGTTCATTGTATTTAACATGCGACTTAATATCCTATTTATATTCCCTCACAGTATATAATCTCTATTGTAAGAAAACTATTGGCATAACCAACCTGAAGAATATTCAATTTTTTTCCCTCAAACTGATTTTTGAGGAAAAATAATATGTGAAGCAGGGGAGTTAACTTTTTCGTCAGGTAATTAAGTAATAAAACTTTCACTGGTTAATCATTGTTTTAACCAATTTGAGGAATTAAGTATAATTGTTTATACAATTATATGGGAAATGAGACAGACTATTTTGATACTGATGTGCTACTGGAATTTTTTTAAAAAATATATTGCCTGGGGAATTGTATGGTAATGCATTAAAAATGAGAATTTGTCAATTGCTTAGGTTTTTACATAGTTTTCTGTAGCTCTTGCAAGCACTGTGTAGTTACACTATGGAATTCACTTTGGGGAAATTCATGGAGGATGAAGCTATTAATCACTATGATCATTGTGGTTATATCCAGAGGTGGTATTCAGCAGGTTCTGACCAGTTCTGGAGAACCGGTAGCAGAAATTTTGGGTAGTTCAGAGAACCAGCAAATACCACCTCTGACTGGAGATTTTACATATCCTTCCCTGTCACTCCCACCAAGCCACGCCCACAGAACTGGTAGTAAAAATATTTGAATCACACCACTGGTTATATCCTGCCTCTATTTTCAGAGGCATATTTATTTTTATGTATTTATCTATAGAGAGAAGTTACCATCATTATTCTGTTTGTAGGCTTCCCACTGTTTGGAAAGAGTTAGTCAGAATTCTTCAGAAAATAATGAGTGATGGGCTTGTAACATCTTGTTTATTTACAGGTCATGTGACTCCCAATGACTCTAAAGAGCTTATAGTTAAAAATAAAAAAGCACAAAAATAACCATAAATGCCCCCCAAAACATCATGTAAACACAGAAAACCTATCTAGCAATCTTTACTGATAAAGGAGAATATTTGTAGCTCAGAGTTGAAATGAGGGGTCCTTGGTGCTTTCTGAGCTTGGTTGTTTCTCTTGCAGACATTTCATTACCCAAATTAGACAACATCAGTGCTAGGAAGGAAGGGAGGTTGCTCTCACTTTATATTCTAGTGGCTTGCCCAGTCAATGTTGGTGGGGGTGGCCTCGGGGGTTCTTTGGTTGGGCTGTTTACTGTTAGCTCATTCCTTGACTGGGGCGTTGTTTACTTTTTGATAGTTGGTTCAGCCTATTTAGTTTAGACCACGTGAGAACTAGCTCCTGTATTTGGGAACTCAAGGTATGATTTGCCGGGAGTTTCTGATAATAGAAAAATGGATTGCCCACAAGGCCATTGAGCTTTAGAAAAAGGGTTAATTGTATCACAACTTCAAATATGTTGCAGCTGAATCCAGAGATTTAGTTGGGATCAAATACAACCAGTTAAATGGGATCACAGAAGGGAAGAGAAGAGTTGCTTTTGAAATGGATCAGAGTCCTTCTGTGAAAATGCCCTTCATGGTTAACTGGTTGTATTCACTATAGCAATAGCACTTATATACAGCTTCACAGTACTTTGCAGCCCTCTCTAAACAGTTTAGCATATCACCCCCAACAATCTGGGTCCTCATTTTACCAACCTCAGAAGGTTGGAAGACTCAGTCAACCTTGAACCAGAATCAAACTCCTGGCTGTCAGTAGAATTAGCCTGCAATACCATACTCAATTACCCTTAGACATTATTATAACAAAATAAGATAAATATGCCCTTCAACAAGCTCAATTTTCTCATTACTTCATGAACACACATGTCCCCTTTCTTTGTTTGTCATTGCTCTCTTCCAAGATTGATTGATTGATTATTTATTTATTTAAAAGATTTGTATTGTCATCCATCTTAAACACAACTTTGGGGGAGGGCATATAACAATAAAACCAGTAACCATAAACCATCATACCCTCAACCCCCTAAAACTAAAACCTGGTGCCTCAATTATCCTTTTAGAGGACTTCACAACCAGCTCTAGATATCCCCATTCTATCTAGTGCTCATGAAAAGCCAGGGTCTTGGTGGTCTTCTGAAAGGCTGAAAGGTTTTCTAGGACCCTGCCAAATCACCGAGGGGAGCAGGGGTGACCTGCTGGGGGTTTGTGGAGGTACAGGAGAACCTCTAGCTAAGATTCTGCACAGTTTGGAGAATCCCCAAATCCCACTCCTGGCTGGCCCCGCCTTGCCCACCCCATCCCTCCCAGGAGTTCTCACGTCGCCCATTTTGAATGCAAGTAAGTGCAGGATGCGTGCAGAGGCTCAGGGAGGGCAAAAAAAGGGGCCTCCCAGAAGTTCGGGAAGGCCGGAAACAGACCCATTTTTGACTTCCAGAGAGCTTCTGGAGCCTGGCGATGCCGTTTTCGCTCTCCCGGAAACTTGAGGAAAGCCTCCGGAGCCCAGGAAGGGCAAAAATGCCTCCCCTGCCATGGTGCAGGAGGCTGACTAGGCCAAGCCCACCATGGCCATGCCCACCCAGCAACCGAGTAGAGAACCCCTTGCTAAAATTTTTGAAGCCCACCCCTGGAGGCGAGGCTACTTTATAATGTATATGTATAAGGATATTATTCCATGGAAAAGACACGCTTCTGAGGTTCCACTAGGAGGCAAGATTTCAGGGAAGCGATTTGGAGATTGCTTGCCCTATTGGATCTGGTAGGAAGAGCAGATAGTATCAGGGAGAGGCAATCCAGCAAATAATCTAGTCCTGTGCCATTTGGGCTTTAAAGGTGATAGCCAACAATTCTCAGCTTTTCAGTCTAGCCTGCTGCCCTGGTGTTCCCTGCTAATCTCTCTCCAGTTGTTACTCAGGGTCCATCTTCACATTTTTTTCCAAGCTCTAAAAAGTCTGAGCCCCCAGCTGAGACATTTCAAAACCATAATTTCTTTTTATAAAAATGTTAAGGATCATTCTCCTGGCCCCTGAAAGAGCTAACAATAACTAATCTATCTTGCAATACCTTTTCTTCAGAAACCTGTAGTAAATGCATTTTGGTGCTATTTCAAAAGAGGCAATTTTTACAGCATGGCCCTCATGCGCGTAAGTGTTTAACTGCAGGATGACTTTCTTTGATCAAAAGATAGGGCTCAAAAAATCACAGCTCTGGTTACCCCACACCAATTTTTCTTCCTGCCTGATGCTTTCTAGATGTACTGAAACAACAGTTTCCCACATCACCAGGAAGCTGCACTTGCATTTTACTTTCCTGCAAGCATCAGCTCCGTTTCTGCTAGGACATGACTATATTCCAGCTGTACCATCATGTGCAATGGT